TGAACTCCCAGTGTTTGCCTGGAGGTGTTTTCTCTGCCTGCAGTACTCAAAGGATTCAGCTGAACAGTGAGAGGATGGATTTGTTAGAGAACTAATGAGAGGAGGTGGTCGAGTCCCCAGGGCTCACAGCTCAGACTGCTGAATTGATGGGATTCTTATTCAGTCATCCATGAAAGGCTGTTCAGAATAATCACACACTTATGGTCAACTTAAAGTGCTGACATGCCACAGGGCAGAATAATCTGTGTATTTGCACCATTTGAGTTTTTCTCACATTGAGAGGCAATGATCCTCTTAACATTCCTGCTCTTTCTGAAGGCACGTTAACAATTATTTCAAAAACATTGAGGGTGGACTGGTGACATATTTTTTTGCCATGATCATATCATTATCAAACCTAAAATCAGTCAAACATTCCTGCTGGTGTCTCAGCATGCTGGTATCTACAATAGACACATTTTAAATTACATTCCATGAACATTAGATTGCCCAACCATCTATAATAGCAACAAGTATTTCCCAGTCCAGTTGGGCTCTTGTGTGTCGACGTTGGGAGAGAAGGGTGGTTTTATTTTTATTTTTTGTGACTTAGCAGATGAGAAGTTCTGATAAAGGAGACAATAATGAGTTGATTTAATCAGAGGTGACTGTCCTTCAATAAAGTAATGTGTGGAAAATAACGTTTTCTTTTTTAACTTCAAGTCAGTAAAGGTGATATAATAAAAACATTTAAAAGGATCACTCAATGACTATTTAATGGGATCTGATTTATCCATCCAAATTAACCCCTCTAGCTCTACAGAGCCTCTATACACTCTTTGTTATGTTTATGTCTAGCCCATGACTTTATTCTTGAGGGTCTGAAGTTGTTGGTTTCAGCAGAAGTGGTTATGTATTATGCATATTAAGCCCCTGTATTTGGGAAAGCAGAGCTAAAAGTGGGTGCATCCATGAAGAGGTCACAAACAGATTATTGAATTTAGCCTATTGGCAGTTTTTGGGGACATGTTATGCAAACGTTGTGTTTACACTGCTGTCTGCTGCCCTAACAAAGGCAAATCAAATCTTACTGCAAATTTTGATATTCAGTCCTTCATGCCCTAAAGCTACTAATTATTTAAAAGAATAGTATCAAACTAAATGAAAAAGAAGAAGGTAAAAGATGTTGTGCTTTGAGTCTTCTCCAGTGTGTTCAATTTCGTCCTTATCCACTGTATCCCCTCTTGCTCAAAAACTCTGGTGACAAGAAAGCAGTACAGCGCAGATATATTCTGTGTGCATTCCTCAGAGTCTGATCAATTCAAGATACAGAGCATATATAATATGGATCTTGACTCCTCTAATCCGCTCATTTACAAAGAGTCTTCTCCTCAGTCCGATCTGGGTCATTTCTAAGGGGATTGAACCAAGAAAAAACAGCGACTAGAAACAATTTCTTCTACACCCTTTTGTCCATAACCTGCTCCACACAGCTGGTCAGCCTGTCACTGCAGCTTGGCTCTGTGCCACTCTCTGGCACATTCCCACAGTAATCATGGGACGGAGTGTAATGTGGAGGCACAGAGGCTGCAGGCAGAGCAACAGATGGGACACATCTTCTCCAGAGTCCCAGCCCTGATCCGTTTTAGCCTCGTGAAATCACAAGCTGATCTCACTGGGACTAATTCACTTACAGGTCTGTGTGCTGCATGTCCAATCCGAGATCTGGGTCTGTGTGTTTGTGGAGCAACCTGCAAAACCCGGTGCAGTCAGCAGACCCTGATCAGATCTGCAGGCACAATCCCATTAGAAGTAAGAGATCTGGAGGATGGAGCCTGGCTTCAAGCCAAGCCCGCTTAGTGTGTGTGTGTGTGTGTGTGTGTGTGTGTGTGTGTGTGTGTGTGTGTGTGTGTGCGTGGTTGTTGTTACAGCCCTGTTTCTGTGTGAGGAGAGTATGACCTGTTAGCTTGGTATTAGCGAGCATTACTCAGGGTGATGATTCAACATTCCTGTCTGATATTCGCCTGGAACAGCACTTTGACCACTCTCTTCAAGCAACAGCAACACAACGGCAAATATTTAACACATTGGCTGAACTGTCACTGCAGCTTTTATGTTGAACCTTACACACACACACACACACACACACACGCACACACACAGACACGGGTACAGACACAAATACAATACTTTTACCTCATTGATGGAGCATGGAAAACAATAAATGTGCATCATGAATAGTGAACACTTCAAGAAACCATCTGACTATTCCTTCCTGCTTATTTTTTAAGAACTGTACAGTGACTTCACAACAAACCAACTGTATTAAAAAATATATATATTTGAAAGGTGATATTTTAAATTTGTTAAGTTGTTGAAAGGTGTGTTAAACCACATCTATTTCCAAATGAATCACAGAAATGGTGATGTAATTGTGACCTTTCCTGTGCTTTTGGCCCATAAAGCTCAATATGTGCTGAAATGACCCCAACTAAATCTGTTCGATACTTTCTACTCTCAAATGTCCTGCTCTGAACGTAAAAGCTGTAAAAAAATTTAAAAAAAAGTAAAAAAGTGTGACAAATCTCAGAATATCCAGCTTAATATAAACACAACTTTCCTCTAAATATATAAAAGTTCGAAGAAAGGACTCACAGGGCAGGAGTTTGTTGTGAAGGTTGGCGGACGAGGAGCTCATGTTGCTGGAGAGTGGAGACAGGAAACAGAGATAATGAAGCAGAGATGATCAGTGTGTGATGGCAGGTAAGGAGAGAGGCTGCCGATCATCTCCCTCCTGCTCTCGTGCTCCACAGTGACTGATGCTGAGAGTCTCTCTGCTGCTCTCCTTCCACTCTTCCCCCCCCTTTCCTCGGAAGACGCTCTGAGACTCTTGGCGAAGGAGGGAATAAGTTGGAGGCTCTGTGGAGTCGACCAGCTGACCAATGACAGGGGGGGAGGGAGGAGCTGAGGGAGGAAGGGATTGGGAAGAGGGACGCAGGGATGGAGGGATTTTATGTAACAGAGTGGAAAATACCAAGGAGAGACAGACACATGCCTTTGTTATTTTTGTCTTCTCACACCCACCCCCCACCCCCTCCCTTCCTCCTTTTCTGTCTCTTGTTTCCTGTCTTCTTTTTTCAGTTAAACATTTAAAATCTCTCTTTTCTGTCTCACCCTCAGGGAGGAGATTTCTACAGACAGATGTTACACCAACGCAAAAAGAAGTATCCCTATTTTTTTTATAATCATCATTATAATTGCTTTTATGCTTCTCAACATTAAAGGGTTTTGAAAGTTCAAACTCCACAAAACTATTCTAACCTTAAGAAATGTAACATTCTGAATGAGTTTCAATTACTATTTTTAAATATGGAAACAATGTGCAACCAAACAAAATCTTAATTGTATTAACTTTTCACAAATAGACAGAGAAAGAAAGTGGATTCACATCAAAATCTGTGACTGATCATGAGTAAACATTGAATAAACTCATAACCCTTTACATAATGTTTGATCATTTGAGTCGTTTTGATCAAAAACTGTTCAACTTCTGGTGTGATCCATTATGCTTTAATGGCTTTTCCCTCAACAATGTAACAATTTTCTTAACTGAACAGAACAGCATACATGAAGAGGTCAACTGAGGTTTTTGAGAGATTAAGAAGGAATTTTTCTTACAGTGTGGAAATTGATTTGTATAGTTTCTTTATGTCAGATGCCTCATTAAGGTCTAATATCCCACTATATACGGTGAAGTCCTCTGTTTTTGTCCAAGGACCATTGTTGCATCATATTCCCCCTTCCTTCCTCATGTCTTCTGATGTTAAATATCACAAAAGGTCAAAATTCTAAAACCAAACCAACAAAAACAAAACTCAAGTTTCATCGTAACCTCCTTATATATCTTAAAATACGTTATTTACTTGGATGAGAATCAGAGTCAGGGATGTTTGTTATCAGACAATCTGTTGGTCCTGGACACCACCTAGTGGACATTACTGTACTTGCTGTCCTGTCAAGCTGGACCTGCTGATTACACAAGATTTGCATGCAGAGGCTCCACCAAGCAGCATTACATCATCATCATCTTGTTTCCAAAACACTTCATCGACATTTTCAAAGGGGTTTTTTTAAGAGTTCTGCGCTTCAACTGAAGGAAGTTTAAGTTGCAGGGTGTGAGTCATTACAAGAATCTGTTTGTGAGAAACAACACAGAGTTAGAAAACATGTTGATCCTCTTTGATCATTTTGTTGACTCAACAGTAAATATTTTGTATCAGTACATCCTTTTCAGTATATTTGTTTTTCTCACAACCATTGCACGATATCCTATAACACAGACACAAATGTATGGCTTTTCTTTACAAACTCATGAGCAGAAAAACTTACACTGAAACTCACACTGTGGCAGGCTAAAGGGTGAAGCCTCAAATACAGGCTGTCATGTAGCAGTTGGAAAGTGGTGGGAGCGAGTGGTGATTTTTAGCAATAAAAACACAGTAAGCAAATGTCAGTGGTTTTTATGGTTTCAACTTGATCTGCTGCTTGAGCCAGAGATGTAGCATCTTACCATGCTGTGAAGTTTCTGCAGGGTATATGTTTGTGTTTGTGCGTGTGAGTGTGCATGTGCATGTGCATGTGCATGTGCATGTGTGTGAACATCAGAGGACAAGAAAAGGAGAACAAAAAAACAGAGAGACAGATAGAGAGAGAGAGTGTGGGCAGAGGAAGCCTGTTGTGACTCAAAGTGAGAAATCCTCTTCACCTCAAACTAAATTCTGCGTGGGCTGCTTCATGACTGGGGGTTCACCTGCTGAGGCCCTGCAGAATCAATAGCAGAGACCTGGACTGCTGTGCTACTGAGGCAGCCATGAAGCAAAAAGCCAAGTCCTCCTTTCTTGTGCGTTTAAAACAAGATGAAAGCAGGAGGCAAGAAAGAAAGACAGGAGAAAGAGTGGAGGAACATATAGAAAGGAGCAGCAAGCAGCATGGCGTGGGTGAGAGCACAGTGTTTATGTTGTCTGTACAATTGTGAAAAAAAGCCTTTTTTTCTGCAGAGGATTGGCTGGAGTACTTGAAGTTAACCTTTGAACACTTACAAATAAGCAATTACTGGATGTTTCACAGCATTCATGTTGTTTGGGGGTCTCACTTGTTCAGGATGAAACATCATTAGTCCACAGACAGTGAGCTAAATAAGCTATGTGTGTAGATTGCACATGTGATATCAAAATGTATGTGTTGCAATCCTTCTTTTTTTTTTTCTGCTCGTGTGTGTGAGTCCATGGCCGGTCTAAAGCAACGGTTTCCCGCCCTCACTACACCAGGCAAAGCGCCAGAGCCATCAGGCGGTCATACGCCTACCATCAGCTGAGGAGTTGCACAGCAGTCTCATTTCTAATTATACACCCAACATCAGAGAGCTACGGAGCGAGGGAGAGAGGAGTGGAATATGGAGAGAGAGAAAGAGAGAGGAAGAGGAGTGTGATTACAAATGGAAGAGAGGCTGAGAGTGCTACTCAGCAGCAAACGCAGGGTGAACAAGTTCAGATGCGCAAGAGAGAAAGAAAGTAAGAGAGGATGAGGGAGAGACATCAAATGTGTCTGAGAAAGGTTAACAGGACTGACTGACTAAGTAGAGTGGGAGTGTAAAATGTAAAAAGCGAGTAGGAGGGAAGAGAGAGAGAGGAAGAGGAGAAGAGAAGAGAAAAGGAGGAGAGCGTGTCTGACAGACAGTCAGTTGAGCTTGTCTGGATGCTTATGATCAGTCTCTTCTGTTGTACCATTTTGCACCTGCAGACAGGGAGCCAGACAGGTGTGCGAGAGTGTGTTGCAGTGTCTGTGAACACTGAGGGACATGCTTTGGGAAGATGGATGCACCGAGAAACAGACGGAGGAACCGATGGAGGAACATGTACAGTAAGTAAGTCTCCAACTTGAGCTTCTCTGAAAATATTCCTGATTCATGTAGCATGTTCCAGTTATGATTTATGCGTTAGTCTGACAGTAAATGCATGTCTGAGGAACTCTTTGCAGTCTGTGGGATTCAGCACCGCAGGTTAAAATGTGCCTGTTATTGCACTATCTCAACACAGATAGAAACATCAAGCTCTCTAAGTGCAATATTGTCACTACTGATATGCAAAAATTCTGTCGTCTTTGCAGATTATCATAATCATGACGACACTGAACGCACCAAACACTGCTGTGCATTCATGTCATTTCCTGGTTGTGAACTCATCACCTCATAAGGTTGTTGAGCCTGTCTGACATGACAGTGTGGGCCTGTTTGGGTCATGATCTGATCATACCTGTGAGTAACTAAGTAGCATGTATATGCAGGCCATTTGAGTGAATTTGCATTTACACTGCAGGCATTTCGCAGACAACACTTATCTATTTGTGTCTCATGGTATAATGCTGCACTGGAATGTCAGTGTGCGGGTGTTGTCTGATCCCCCACACACACACACGCACACACACACACACAGACACACATTATAGAGAAGCAGCTCATATCAGAGACATGCCGGTTAGACATAGAGGTTCATTCAGCGGCGATGCTTGCTGTGATGATGACATAATGCAGGGCATTGAGATGAACTTTGCATTGACTGGTCGTAAAAGTCTTCACCTCTCTGCATCAATTTGTGTAAACACAACGAGTCTCTGAGTAATAAGAGACACTAGTGTGTGTGTGTGTGTGTGTGTGTGTGTGTGTGTGTGTGTGTGTGTGTGTGTATGTGTGTGAATGTGTGTGGCCGCAAGGGGCTTATATTTAGCCCTGTCTATGAACTGACTCACTATTGTGTATGCATTTAAGGTGGATGATTGTTCTCAACCGCTTCGAGGTGTTCAGATCACTTTAGTCCCATGAGAAGAATCATGCTGTGTGTTTGACACCTGCATCCATAAAATACCCGAATACTCTCTCTCTCTCTCTCTCTCTCTCTTATGTTTCTATATGAAAGAATTACCATAAAAAACCTGACCAAAAGCCTCATGATGAATCTAACATCTAACTTTACACCCACCCCCAACCATTTACTTTGCATTGTCCTCACTACTCACACAACCGCACAGTGCAGCACTTTGTTACCATAGTTACTTTTTATTTTTTTTTATCACAAAGAAGTTGTTAAATGCCCATCAAATATAGCAGTTTGTGGTTGGAAAGCCTCCGTTTGAAGCGAGTGGAGGAAGTTGTTATTGAAGTGTGGAGGGGACGTTTACAGGCAATGATCTCAGCGGGTGTCACATTCAGTGACAGAGAGCAAGCTCTGTCATTTATTGAGAAATTTGTGGAGAAACTGACAGACAGAGAAGAGAGAGTCAGTTTGATTTCCTAAAGGTTGTTTGAAAGGAAATCAAGTGCTATAATATTTGTTTCTTCTACTTTTCAGACTACAATGACCTTTGACCTAACTAGTCGGTGTCTGTGTCCCGTGATCACGATACCTCGTCAGATTCTGGAGATCAACATGCAGTGCCAGTGTGAGTGACAGGCAGCGTGAGCCAATGAGCTTCATTAAAAACCCAGCGTTTGTCCCAGACAGGGACAGCCTCCCACTCAAGAAGAGGGACCAAAGACCAAGTCCACCACCACCATCTCCGCCCAATCAGCAACAGCACCAGCAGCAGTGTGATGCTGCAACATTCAAAGCCCCCTTCCCTTATAGGAACCACAGTGACTTTAAGACCAAACACAGCAGCCCTTTCCAGCCTGTACCGAGGCGGGTCCCTGCTCTGTACCAGCCCTGGATGCAGACCCACACGTCCACCCGGTCCAAACCGCACATCCTCTCTGCGTTCAGGGAGCACCATGGCTGGGCAGAGTGGAGAGACTTTAACCCCCTGCAGCCGAGATGGGACTTTACTCACCCCTATCAGCAGCACAACCACCTGTCACCTGCACCGGCACTCCACCCAGTCCATCCGCACCACATCTCGAGATTTAATCTGGTTAATGATGGTTTCCAAAGAGCTGCCGGAGGGTGCGGATGGGAGCAGCTAAAGGCCATCAGCGAGAAAAATGTAAACACAGAGAGGCAGAGTAATGGGAGGAATAAAGGACCATATCTGAGGAGAAGGGACAGAAAAGTTGCATTTATTCCCAGGGTTGAAAAAGTAAATTCCCCATTGTCAAGCACACCTCAGTCTCCATCCCGGGACTTGTCAACGCAACATGATGTGTTGCACAAATCAACAAAAGTTGTTAAACACCCTGGACATTCCTTTATAGGAGCTTCCCCTGACAATAACTCAAGGATCACGTTCACCTCCATGAAGGAGGATGCATCTAGGTCTTCTGACCAGGGCTCCTCCCCCTCCCCCTCCTCCTCTCCCTCCTCCTCTTCTAACCAGTTTCCCTGGCTGCTCCCTCACTTTGTTGCCGGCTCTCTGATTGAGCTCAGAGACGGGCGGCTGAGGAGGGTGGAGCACTTGCAGACAGAGGACTTCCTGCTTGGATCACTGGCCTGTCCAGACCTGTGCCTGAGCTGCTGCACGGTGCAGTGCATCTCCCCTTCGTCCTCCTCCTCCTCCATCTCACGTCTGCTCATTCTGCTTCATAGCCAGCAGTCCCAGGTAAAGAAAAAGCCAATGTGGGGTATTTACATGTAAGAAAATAGCAGTCATTATACATCAGACAGTTACTGTCACTTAGAAGTGATATGGGAGATGCTGTCCAATCGTTAAACTTTATGTTCCAAGAGTTTAAAATACAACTGATTCAGATGGAGTGAAATATATTAAAATACATAGTATCTATCTATCCTTGTACATAAACACTTTCAAATGCTTTTAATCAGGCAAAAACTATGGAATTTTTAGGGATGACGAGGCTTGCCAAATTTAACATTTCCCACTACAAACATACAAACCACAACCAAGAAGTGTTAACCCTACTAAGTGTAGTGTGTGTATGTAAACTATGAAATTATTGAGTTATTAGAGTCTGAGTGATTAGTGCTCCAACGACCCGACCTCGGATAAGTGGAAGAAAATGGATGGATCTTAATAATTAAACAAAATATATAAAAAGGAAGGGAGGGAGGTACATGTTTTTACAGTTATTTTACAAAATAGCCCTCTTCTCTCATGTATGTGACATTACTAGTAATGTATCTAAATGCTTCAAGTGTGTTGCTTCATATTTCCAGATGAACTGATTTTCATTGACCTGCAACACAGAGGCATGTCAACCATTTAGTAGGTCAGAGGTTTAGGTTTTCAACTGAAATTGGAAATTTGGCACCAACAGATCATTAACGCCCTCTAGTGATGAAGTGTGTGAGCTTCATTTCTGTGTCTTAATCTTCCTGTAATGACGAAACATTCTCCTGCAGGAGTTGGTGGATGTCTATGTGGAGTACCCTTTCTTTGTGCGGGGGCGGGGCTGGTCGTCATGCAGTCCTCAGAGGACCGCTCGTCTCTGTGGCCTGCAGTGCCGACAGCTCAGTGTGGGGGACGTCTGCCTTGCTCTCACCCCCGTCTCAGCCACCCAGTCTCCACCATCAGCCACCCTGGTGCCAAAAAACTCCCCCAGGAAATCAGAGGGAAGGTGTGAATCCCTAAAGGCACCACAGGCACAGGTTCCTCCAGAGCCAGGGCGACCATCAGGGGGGCCGAGGAAGAAGGCGGAGGCAGTCAGGAGGAGACACTACTCTGCCCCTGAGCTGGGAGGTCCAAGGACTAACTGTCTGTAGGGAGGAGAGTCTCTGTTTTATCAACAGGAAACAAGTCTGTCTCTTTGAAGCTCCGCTTTATTCAGCCCACATTTGCTGTCTTTCTACCTCCTCTAACATTTGGATGTGTTTGATTGTCGTTCCTAATCAAAGGAGCAAGATCTGAAGAGGGATAACATGGTTAAATCTCAGGATTCCTCGGAGTATATTTGTTAAACATAACTTTTCTTTGAAGCTTATCAAAGGCTGTGACAAAACAGAATTCAGATCTTTTATTTCATAAAAGATGTCTCACATTATCTTGTGTTTTTTTTAAAGTGGGAAACCAAAGTTTACATCTTTATAGCCACAGGGAGAAGCTTCAGTTGAATTGAAAAGGATCTTTTAGATTCAGAGAATTAGGTTCCGACGTTTTAACAGAGCTTTCAAATCCTTTCTGGTGCTGACAAAATCAGCCTACATTCCTGTAATCGCACAATAGAAACTCGCTCTGGTCCGCCCATGCTGATCAAAGTTTATCCATCTTCCTCCTTGTATTATGTAAGACATCTTTATGATCATAAATTATTCATTTCATTTCCAATGAATGCAAGCTCCTTATAATATAGTCCCCAGCTCTATGATTGTTTCCGAATGACAATCAACACCAATTCTGATTGAATGACTGGACATTAAATATTACTGATTGAATCAGTGATGTTTAATTTTACGCCTCTACCTCTATTTTCTATTTAAAAAACAATAGATATCTTTGTATAAACAGCGTGGGCTGTGTTGTAATATGGAAGTTCTGTGAGTGTCAGTGTGAATTCCAAAATGTTCTTAAAGTATACCGTTGCTTTGCTTTTGTATGCACTCTTTTAAAAGTCTGTCCCATCGCTCAGAGTGGAGATATTTTCTCCATTCAAAGTACTCTAAAGGCACAATCTCTGACATGCGTACCGTGCCATAACTCAGCAGTAACCAAGTACACATGTGGAAGAGACAAACACATGCAGACCAAAAAAAACCAATGATGATGTCACAGACATGGTGCCGTACACATGGACCGGGACTACAATATGTAAAATAGGTTTCTCGCTGTTGAATAAATATGTGTTGTGTTAAGTTTTTCTTCATTTTTCAAAAACATGAAACCAGTTAAATACCAAATATTTACTATCTCCTTCACAGGTTACTGTACAGACTATTATTGAGGCCAAAAAAACACACCAACCTGCTTTTTGCTAGCTTCCATTTATTTAATTTATTCTGGAAAAAAAAAATTCAGCTACCCTTTGCCAACCTGCAGCTCTGCTGTGACACATACTGCAGCTCTGCAGTTTGGGATGATGGTGAACACCTCGATGTCTGTCTCATAGGATGAATCACTGACATCAGGCCAAGTGATGTGCGTCTGCATTAGGAAACATCAGGCCCATCAGGCAGCCTTTCAGTTACACACACTGTTATTTACAGTCTCTGCTGTCAATCAATGACCTCCTCTACTTTAGCAGTGCAGGCATGAGCTGCCGGATGTCTTACACCTGACCCTGTCCTGCTGAATAACCAGCGTAACACCAGTGATGTTTGTAGGACAGCACTGATTTTTTCCCCCTCATCAGGACAGAAGTATATTCATCTGTTCCAAAAGACAAGGTGCGACGTTCAACAGATGGATGTGGCTTTCAAGTTTCATGAGCTGTGAAATCATTTTTCAAAATGCACATTTCCATGCAGGTGCTTTTATTCTGAAACCTGATGGTGTGAAGAAAATTGAAATGTCGGTAGAGACGTGTTTCACATTAGAGAACCCCGCTTTTTCTTTTCTTTTTTCTGAAAGAAACGCTCCACGCTGTTCAGAGTCCTTGCAGTGTACGTCTGCAAGTCACACGTGAAGGAAAACAAAGAAACCCTTTGTTCAACCTTTCTCTGTGACAAACAGCTCTAATTGGTTCATTGTAAAAGTTAATACTGCGTGGGAAGCTCGGATTAAAGCTCTGAGCTCCCTGAGGAACCAGCCAGTCAATCTCTTGTCTCTTCTTCCACTTCTCTGCCTTTAAATGAGAATCCATCCGGATAGAAAGAGCTCACGCGAGGGGGGAAGAGGCGGTCAGTGACAGCCACAAGCTCTGACCACCATGTTGCGGTACTTCTTGAGGATGACATTGGAGCTGTCGTCAAAGTACAGCACAGAGATGCCATGGAGCTGGGTAGGTGCACAGCAGGGCTTTGGGACCGTCTCCGGGTTGATAAAGTGCACCTGTGGTTGGAAGAAGTACAATTCCATCATCACAAAGTTTGAAAGGGGACGCAGTGAAAGTGTCTGTGAACATGGAGTGTTTCAGGACTCACCAGAGTTTGCACAATAGCATGATTGGTGGCATTCATGTAGGAGTTTAGAGGGAAGGCACATTCTCCCTCACAGTAGTACGCTGCATAACCCTCTGGTGCTATGATCCAGTCCTGATCAGAGGAAAACAACAGGAAAATATCAGTCAATCATCCCATATCGAATTATTATTATATCTTATGAGATCAAATGAAGGTTTGAAGTTATACCTGCCATCCCAAATCCCTGAAGCTGACATACAGCTCGTGCTTTTTACATCCCTCTTTAGAGATGCTGAGGTTATCTGAAATGAAAAACATGCACACATGACTTCAGACTAGTATCAAAGGACTCAATGTATTTAGTGCAATGTGGTTCAACTCATCAAAACAATGACTTTATTTAAAGGGCTGAGGTACCTGTTGCAGTCTCTACGGCCTTCAGTGCATCTTGAACAGTCCTCTGGGATTTGGAGCGGTTAGAATGGCGCCCTTTGTGGCCCTGAGCGGAGCGGATGCTGCGTAAACGCACCTCATCGGCTCTGAAGAAGGCGACCATGAAAGGCTGCCTGTCCTGAGGTCCACTGCCGATCACCAGACCTGCCAGCAGGGGGTTCCTTCTCTGGCCTAAAGAGGGAGACAGTGAGTCAAAGTATGAGATTTTCTGCTGTAAACTGTAGAGGACAAAAACACACATCTGGGTCACTGCAGAATAATCATTCTTTAATTCTAATATGACAACCACAATCACAGGCTAAGCACTCTAAGAACCATCTACATATTTATTTATTTAAGGATTTAAACAGCCTTTATTCATGACTCCAGACGTATACTGTGTGCTTGATGTCGCAGTGAATGTGTGGCAGTGACTTACCGCGGCTGTCCTCCAGGACCAGATGTAGGCCCAGGTTCTGCTCAGGGTCCGACAGCCACAGGTTACTGGTGGCCGTGAGGTCAAAGATGAGCCAGCCCTCCTCTGCAGCCCACACTTCTCGCTGGTCCAGCAAGAGGAGCTCCACTTCACTGAGGAGAGGAAAGTGTGTCATCATTACACTACTGTATGAAAATACAACATTTTATAGTGCCTGTTTGTCTCAGGCTCATATATTTCCTTGATGCAACATTGAAGTCCCCAGCAGTTACATCTTGCAAATTTGTTTCCAAAAGCGTAGACTAAAGTTTGACAAAGTTTTGTTGATTAAATGTGGCTGGCATGTGATTTATTTTTGCTAAATTGACTTTTATTTCTGAAATGAAAAAAAAAAAACTCAGGCTTACACAAGAGAGCAGTTGGCTGTGATTCTAGTTACATAAAATTACTGTTTTATACGCTAATGTAAAACTGCATGTAGGCTCCTGTCATAGAGTTCTGATAGATAAATACAGGTCATGTTGTTTGATGTGGGTTGGGCTGTGTACAACAGTCCATTGGATTACAAATGACGATAAGGTACTTTATTTTAACCTGCTTTTTGAGGGTGTTTATGGCCATGCTCTGAACAATGTAGGAACAATACACTTTTAGGTTTCGGACGAATGAAGAATGAAAAAAATGAAAGGCAGCAAAGAGGTTTATGAAAACAGTGGTATGTTGTCTGTGAGCCAAATGAGACACCTAACTCTGTCCAACTGTTTTTAAAAGCCAAGACTGAAGGCAGAAAATAAGAAAAGTCATTAACGAGGCTGAAGTGTTGATGTCTGTGACCACAAATGAACCAAATATAAAACCCACCTCGACATAACTAATGTCATAGGTTACTTTCAGATCAAATGTTTTCTGTGGTAGAGAATGGGCACAAGAAGTTTGTCATTATATTATATTATTCCCAGGATGAATTCTAAAGGACTTTAGGAGAAAAGAGAGAAAGAGACCTAACACTGATTTAGCAGACTGTAATGTTGTTTTTTGTTGTTGGCATAACTGCCTCAAAACTTTATGAAACAATGGTTATGCTGTTAATGGGGGGCCAGCACTAAGCTACTTTTTATTTTAAATGAATGCACTAATAACGTACCCCCTCTACACACACACACACACCACAATCAGCTGTTATCAAATAAGAACATAGTAACTTAGTAAATATCTTACAGTTAAACTGGTATGTGCTGTTTTAAGGTCAGATTTCAGATCTCACAGACAATGGCTGTGTTTACAGACAGAGTTTCAGACCCTCAGGCAGACTTCTGCCTGTAGTCCTGCCGTCTGCTCATCTGTGTGGAGCGGCCTTTGTGTCTGTGAATGACAATGGTGTTGCCCTTAACACTTTCATCAGCCCCACTACCACTGATTAAATCTACGGGCTGAACATGATTCTTCCTGCTCGCTTCTGCCTCCCTGAGAGGCAAACTCAAGAGGGTCTGTGAGGAGGAGGGATTTTATACTGTGGGCAGAAGAACCACGTTATAACAGAGAGAGGTGAGTGAGATAGAAGAGGGATGTGTGGAGTCTTATCATTCCTGGTGTGAAACAAGTCTCAGTGTAGCACAGAAGCTGGCAGGCTGACAGAAAAATAAAAACACAGACAGACAGACAGACCGGAACATGGCAGACTAACCACCAGTGTGAAAGACAGATGGCAAACTGACGTGTTGAGGGTTGCGAGTTTTATTTGTGGTTGGAGCTGCGTGTTATAAATGCAGATCTCTCAGGGCTTGTCCTGCTCCGACTGTGTGAGAGTAACTGGCTCAGGAGTGAACCACTATGTTTCTATAATTGACACTAATGTCTGTGAAAGCAGCTTCAGTGCCGACACTTACATCAGCAGAAATAACCTGCTGGGAAATGAAGACAGGCACAGCCAATGCAGACAGATGTGTGTGTGCTCATACAGCCCCACGACCAGTTTACACACAAAAACAAAGTAGCATGAGGGTACTTCACCATATTATTAGCATTATGCCCCTTTGTTAAAAAAATAATAATAATGAAGTGAACCAGTTACTGTGGAAACATTTTGAAGTGGAGAAATAAAATAAAAATAATGCAGAGTATTTTGGTTTATTCAAAGTATTTAGGGTGTCTCTGAAAATTCACCTTGTTGATAAACTTTAAGCTTTTACAGCAGCATGACTCAATGGATGGAGATGGTATTTTTTATTTCTTCACAGACATTCATTGAGTCCAGGGGCTGAAGCCACACTTAATACAACCTCTTTACTGAGAAGAAAAAGGAAAGAGAGCCCCCCCCCTAAGTTAAACATCGGTATGACTTCGGGGCTCTCTCAGAATTTATGTTCCACCATGAGGGGGACGTTTTTGTTTTAAGTGAAATGTCTCAACAAATTTTAGATCTTCTTCATTTTCTTTTTTTCTTCGTCTGAAATAACCATGGGTGAGCTGAAGTGCAACTAAACGGCCTCGTTCCTGTAAACTTTGAGATGTGCAGTTGCAGAAAACACTTATTTACCTATTTGGAGGTTGCTGCAGGACCTGGTACACGTTGACTCTGAACGTCTGGTTCTCGAAGCTTTCCTGGATGAATTCTTTATAAATCCTGAATTCGGCTGCTGTAACGGCCTCTCCCTCTGGGATTCGGGAAAGGTCGAACCGAAATTCTCGTCTGTGCTGTTGGAACAGATGATCCTGATCCTGATCAACTATCAGGGAGAGAAAAAAAAGAGAATGCCATCCAGTTCAATACCTGTAACTCCACATTGATGATTTGACGGGCTTAATCAAAATGTTCCATTTCAAATTCCCTGATTATTTAACTTGTTTGATTGGATGGTTTATCGTTGTCTGATGTCAATCACGGTAAAATAATACTTCTGACATTTGAAGGGAAAGTTTATACAGTTGAAGAAAAGGCAAACCACTGTGAGTACAATCAGATGGAAAACCAGTCAGTGGTTACATTTCTGTCAAAACTGTCACTGATTTAAACGCTCCTCTGATGCGTGTCACTCTGCCCACATCTCAGCAGCACTGGGTCCGAAATAGGAAAACTCCGGCTTTTTTCAAGTGAAGTGATTGATCTAAATATCACTTCAATTAAGTCTGCCATACGTGCCAATGTGGGGGGAGGAAAAAAAAACACACACTCAGGCTCAGTTTGGCTCTATGTTTCAACTGCACACATGTGCCGACCACAAGAAAAGACCCGTTAAGGCACTGCCCGGAAAACCACAGCAGCCAGTGTGCTTTTATAAACACACTTACATAAAGTAAAGAGAAACACACAACTACCAGAGTCTGTACCACCCACACCTCCCTGATCATTTTGCCATACAGCACTGTGCTCACTTCCTTCTGATGGAGAGGATGAAGTATACAAACTATCCTGACGGCACAGCAGGGTTTCTGACCCGCCCTGAGGCCAGCTGGAACTCTCCCATACTCAGACTTTCCAGAGGAACAGTGGTCACAGAGACCCGAGAGCTCGTTCAAGCTATCCGGTGTCGTGTTATTTCAGCGTCGGTGGATGTGTTTGTCCTTGGAGAGAGCGGTGGAGGTCTCTGCTGAAGGTGAGCGGGCGAGAGGAAGCGATTACCCACCCCTTGACACATCCTGCCCAATGTAATACACTATGACATCATCATGACATCACTTTTGTGTTCCTACTGATGGTCCACTATTGTTTCAGTGCACATGCAACTCTAAACACAGCACGCTAACACTGGAAACAGAACCAGAACACACACACACACACACACACACCCCTCTGGTCGTTAAGAGAAGTGCATTCTGAACCCTGCGAGTCATTCTTTCGACCGCAATTAAATGCTGGAAAGGATCGAGGGGTGTTTTTATGAAAGCAATAATTGCTTGTAAGGACTCGGTTTGTTTACGTTAGGGACCATTAGCTGCAGAGATCAGACCTCAGATATGCAAACTTCCCTCTGGCAGGCACTTCACATTACTCCTCACGCTGAGGGGCCACACAGCCACAGAGCTATCATTAACCTATAGCACATTTAAAGTAGGCAGACCATGTTTTTCTTTTTTTCCAACATGGGAGGTTTATAGATGTACACTACAACAATATCTACACCAAAACTCAAATAGTGTTAAAAGAAGGACTTTAAGTAGGTCATTCTACGAATCAGTTGAGCTCAGACTTTGGTGTTGCACTCCTTCTATTGTAATCGATGCAGTGACACTTCTGTTAATTGACCATTTTACCATGCACTTCAGGTACGTTGTGTTCAATGTAGGGTGTGTGTGTGTGTGTGGGGGGGGGGGGGAATCCTGTTACTGATTCTGAAATAGGAATGCAATCTTACAACCTGATTTTTTGAACGTGTGTAGACATTTATGTAACGACACAGTCTCTCAAAAACTGCCTGTTCTCATTCCATTCAACATTTGAATTAATGAATTAATTTCCCTCCACTGTACTAGATCAATGAGGCTGCTCTGTCTAAATGAACAGTCAAAATTTTACGCCACACACACCTGCAGCAAACAGCCCAGTGCTCTGGGGGAGAAGTGGCTGTGCAGCTTTGAAGCAGCGCTGCCTCACACTGGAAGCTGTGGTCCCTGGAAGGGAAATACCATAATCCAGTTTGGTCTTGAAGCGATCATCCAGGGACCACCAGGATAGAGTCACTCCAGCTCAGTGTGGGAGCCCCAACGAAAACCTCTGCCAATCATCAGCACAGGAGGCTGTGGTGGGCTTTAGGGAAAATAATACACACTCTTTGTGTTCCTCTATTTTTGTTCTTCCTCTTTATAATCAAACTCTTGTGATGTGGAACCACAGAAATCTGCTAAGAGTTTTCAGAGATGATGTTTCCAGAGATCATTAGCTTTAGACTGTTGTTTAAGAGGTTGCGACTGGGTGTGTGTGTGTGGGGGGGGGTATTATCCCTCAAGTGTTTTGCATTTACTATCTATTGACAGGCTGATTGGGAAGATATTCTTAATGACTCTTTGTTTATAAAGGCTCAATCTCATTGACACACGATGGCAGGAAGGTTGAAGGTTTCTTGAAGAGCCATCTTTGAAGAACAAACTCCTCACAGATACCCAGACCCCTTCCTGTGAGCTCTGAGGCAGGAGAAGAGCAGAAAAAGACGAGGACTGCTTTGAGATGTCACCACATCTGCATACAAGCCGAGGGCACCACAAGGTCTGCTGCTTCACCAGTGATATTAGAGCTGGTGAAGGATTTCCCAGGGGAAACAAAGACGGATTTGCCTTTTATAAATACAATAATGTCCAAGTGAGCCCTGACTCCCACCTGTGACCCCTGTGATGTATGCCCCCAAAACAAACAACCACACCAATGGACACATAAATGCAGGAATGCACTGCTGTGCACACGCTCTTGCAGCGATTACTACACAGCAACATGTTTAGGTCCGGTTTGTGTCTTAATGGAAGTCAAACTGGTTCTCACTCCCCCTGGGATTTGCAAAGGACTGTTCAATTCCCAGTCATGTGAAACAATGCCACGCTAAAGCTGCTCCCCCACAGCTTTGAAGGGATTCTGGGGAAATCCGATACAGGCATGTTGTCATAACGTTTACAGCTAGGAATGCATAATGCTAGACCTAATGTAAGAAAGTGACCTAAAAGCCACAATCTGATCACACAAGTGACACACACATACGAAACTGATAATGCTATCTGTTGTAGTTGCTGTGAAAGATGTTTAATGTTGACTCTTAATTTGATTCAATCAGAAAAACATCTGTAAGTGGTACTGTTTAGACATTCTACAAATAAGTTTTTTTCTGCATGGGGAAAATGTCAAATTAAAGCTTGTGTAATTACTTATATTAGTGATAATAAGTATCTTGAGGCGTTTTTTTTTTAAATGCAGGCTATATACTTACCAATTGTGGCAGAGGAAATTGGCTAGTCATAAAATCAGACTGTAAACTTACCGATGTTAACGAAGCTCATCACCATGTCTGCGTCCTCGAGGAAGCGGTTGTCCTGCGGGGTCACCATGGGGGAGACCTGGGTCGGTACAACGGGCTTGTAGTAAGAATATCCGGGCGGCTGTGCGTCTGTGGATATGGTGTTGTATAGGTCCAGCATGAACATCGGCGCAGCGTTTTGTTTGGTGTGGACGTGCGGCCGCGGGCGGTGCGGCAGCCCCAGGATGGAGAGGATCTCCCGTTGCATCTCCCTGCGCTCCTGGCTCCGGAGCCGCCGCTGGATGAAGCTTGAGCGCACCTCGTTGTCCATGGAGAAGTTGGAGAAGGAGACCTGCGTGGCCAGAACGCAGTAACCCCACATCAGGAGGATCAATAACGTCTCCAATACTCTTAACATTTTACCCAAGTATCAAGTGCAGCTCGAACTAAGACGAATAAAGGATGTCCCTTGGCAAATTGAACAAACTATACCCCCTTTATCAGTTCAGAGTCTCATTCGCCTATCTTCTATTTTTGCGCACTGTTCTGGTGCTGTGCGCTCCTCTTGATGGCAACCAGGGATTGGATTTTATTGAGGCGCTATGTCAGGGGAGGGGCAGCAGGGTTTCAGAATGGGGACTGGAAAGATTGGGAGAGATAGGGAGGGCGGGGGTGAAAAGTTGGGTGAGAATATGGATGGATCACTGTCCTAACAATGCGCACACCCCTCTATCTATCTTGGTAATGAGTGGCGTGTTGATCTCTCTAACCAAGTGTCCCATCACTGCGTCCTTTGTTTGGGCATGTCTGTTTGAGCACCGCTTAAAGAGGACGCTAATTATTAACATCTCATTAGCACACCTTTCCACAGGTTGAATTTCCTTCTTTTGCAAGCATCTATCTGTTATCATCACCCGCTTCTGATTTCGAAAGGCCATGTAGCCTCCTTCATTTTATCTTTTTAAAGATATGAATGTGTAAATGTACTGTTACCGTTTCTCATCATCGTGCACATTTAGACCCCACAACACTGCTACAAGGTGAGTCTAAAGGTAAAGAGGGAAAATCCCCTAATCCTCTTTTCCAAGAAGGCACCTTTGAACTCAAACAATAAACTCAGGCCTACCCTAATTGAGGGGTTTGAGTGATCATGAAGGGACATGCCAATAGTCCCAATGAAAAAGCCCTCCACAGTGCTCCACAGTGAGTACTTTAATAGAGAAGGGGGTGGGGGGTAAGGGTGGGCAATGAATAACAAAGCAAGAATTCAACTCTGAACCACAGAAATACATGTTCTTAACTCAGGTTTAAGGACAACAGTGTCTGGATCAGTTCATGAAGCTCAACAACAAGTTAAATGAAATCACATTTTGTACTGATGTCATTTTCTGTTTCTCGTGTTTTCATGTTCTGTCTCCGTATCCGGCCCATCTGATTTTGTCATAAATGAGTAAAAACCACACATCTTTATTTCCATGAGCAACATATACTGACTGGGAGGTTCTTTCCCAGCAGAGGTCACTCTACATTGCTCATCACTAGAAACTCATGTAAACGTCACAAGAGCCCCCCTATCTCAACTACAAACATTTGTAAACTTCCTTTATGCTATTAAACTAACTAAGACTGACAAATCTGTTTTACTCACGAACTCTTTAGCAGAGTGGGTGCATGTCCATGGGCCATTCTAGACTAGGGGAGCTTCGGCAAATAATAACACCAGATTTAGCCCACCAGATTTTTGAAGTTTGACAAACATTTTGCAAATATGTTAATTTGATATGTTAGCTATACTTTTGACAAATGTATAGTTACAATCAACAATATTGCATCGCTACTGACAATGCAGATTTCCTTATTAATAATAACAACAACAACAAAACCTGTGCAAATTGAATACGTTTGCAAAAAAACATTCTTACTCTTTTCCTCTCCTTACGGTGTAAAACTCATGACTTACTATTATTGTTGTAAATGTCAGATTGAGAAAAATATTTCTTGTTCTTGAGGTGAGTTTTTAAGCAGGAGGATTGAACAGGAACTCTACATGTCACAATGTTTTTAGGAGCTGATTACCCCTAAAGGCCTGATCCTAAAATCGACCCATGTGCATGCCCATATGTTCTCTGCCACTATTTTGAACTGGAATATGTTTTAAAGTTGTTGTTAGCTGCAGCAAATTCCCTAGCACTCTGAAGACTGCTATTGTAACTCCTGTTCACAAATCAGGGGACAGACAGGAAGTGAGCAACTATCGTCCCATCAGTATATTGCCTACCATTTCAAAAGTTATTGAAAAGGTTGTTGCTGAACAACTTGTAGCCCATCTTAATATTGAAAATCTACTGCACCCTATGCAATTTGGGTTTCGAGCAAATCATTCCACTGAAACGGCATGTTGCTACTTCCTTGAAGTCATTAAAGGTAGCCTTGATAAAGGAGGGGTGGTGGGTGCTGTATTTCTTGACCTGCGCAAGGCTTTCGATACAGTTAATCATTCAGTACTCATCTCCAAATTGTCTCAATTTAAACTCTCTGCTAACGTTGTTAATTGGATTCAGTCTTACCTACTTGTTCGCTCTCAGTGCGTACGGATAAATGATAAAACATCATCACTAAAAGCCTGCGTTATAGGAGTGCCACAAGGTTCCATCTTAGGACCACTGTTGTTTAGCGCATACATCAATGATCTCAATGGTTACGTTATTCATGTCTGACTCTTAATACTGACAAAACTGTGGTCATGTATTTTGTGAATAAACACAAAAATATGTTTTTTCCAAATATTATTGTAGGTGGGCAAATGATAAAAAAGGTTGATGAGTTTAAATACTTGGGTGTTACACTAGACCACAACCTTACTTTTAAAAGTCATATTAAAAAGATGTGCCATAAAGTTAAATATAACATAGCCAACTTTAGACATATCAGGAACTCGCTTACAGTCGAAGCGTCTAAAATGTATTTGAATGCTATGATTTTTTTTTTACTTTCATTACTGTATATCATGTTGGTCTCAAGCAAACAAGACTGTCTTAAAACCCATAAGGTCACTTCATAAACAATCCCTTAAAACTCTGGACAGGAAACCACAACAGTATCATCATTGTGATATTCTTGATAAATATAAAATTCTAAGCTTTGAGAATTTAATTTTTTATACCGATGTTCGCTTAGTGAACAAAATAATCCATGATGCTGCTCCCCCACCATTGAAAAGCTTTTTGAAACTTCACTCTGAGCTGATAAGCAGATCTTCAAGGTCTGCCTCTAACGGAGATTGCAATATTTCTAAACGTGGCTCCGCTTTAGCACAATCTGTTTTTTCTTTTAAAGCCGTTAAAGAATAAAATAGTCTTCCAACTACTCTTAAACTTTGCACAAACTTCTGCACTTTCACCCAGGAAGTCAAAAAATGAATTTTAAGTAACCAGTCTTGTCAGCATTAATGTGTCATCTCGACAACCTTTTACATCTCTCAGGGAAACTTGTACATAACGTTTTAATATCTGTAAATTGTTCTATGTCTTTCTTCTCTCTTATGAAATGTGTGTGTGTGTTTGTGTGTGTGTGTGTGTGTGTGTGTGTGTGTGACTGGTTGATTTGTATTTTGCTGTTGCCATCATCTGCCCAGGGACAACAGATGGAAATTAGCGAGCTAGCTAAATCTGGTACAAAGCATCTCTTCTGAGACTAATGTTTTTTTTTGTACACTGTCCCTGATTCAAATAAACGATTAAACTAAACTAAAACATATAATGTTTTTAATTGCTTAGCAAACTCAGTCCATTAGAAATAATTCATAACACCTCCCTCTGGAGTTTATACTGTGCAGTGTGTTATATTGACTGCCACAGGATTTAAATATTCTTGTATATTTATATTACATTCTTATTAGTTAAAAATCATCTGCTTATTGATCAACCTCATATTCATTTGCTATGAAGTTACATCTACAGGCTGCCTTGCAAGTCAATATGAAAGTGAGAGCCCTGCGTGCTGTTCTGCATCTGCATCGTTATGGGTTTTATTAAGAGTAGAAAAAGTCAAGTTAAGGTTATGCAAAAGGCAAAAAGGGCAACTGAAATTTTTGTTGTAAATGACCAATCCACATTTATCATTAAAGCATTTTAAAGTAAAGGTCTTGTTATTCTCTTAATTTAATGTTTTTACTCTGCATTTCAGGCAGAAATGAATCATCAGCTCTTATACCACATTTATGCCTACATACTGAGAATGATGAAAGACTTTATTAACATTTTGCTTTAGCCCACCTTTACATTAATCCAACATTATTAGAGTGGCATTTATTTTCAGACTAGTATAATAACTATAACAAGTCAATAATATTGGTACTTAATAGGTCATTATTACTTACCTATACTGCCCTACAAAGGCAAAAGACCTTAACTCGAGTGTAGAACTGAGAAAAATGACTTTAAAGTATTTTTGTTGTCCAGCCAAATGAGTTGCAGGCAGAATATTGGAAATGTGGCAATTCTTTGTCTTTTTTAATGAGGTTATTAATGTTCATAAAAACCCTTATTTGACCCTTATTTGGAAGTTAAGGTACTCTGCCTTTGCATTGCCTGTACAATAATACAATACTCATTTTTGAAAAAAATTGAAGTTACTGCCTTTGTAGGGCAGTATAGCCACTAACAGGTTAGTTCATATAGCCCATATGGTTATTTTTACAGTCTATGGTTAGGATGCATGGCTGCCAAGCTGAAAAATAGGCCTACTATCAAAACTATCAAAACTATCAAAGCTATCTAAACAATCACCTGAGCTGTAACTAGCTGGATGGAATCAGACAAATATTATATAATATAATTTTAAAAGTTTATGGACACTACCTGTTTCCTGTGAGCAGTGGTCCTCAGTCGACTGACTCGCTGTCGCGCATCGCCATCTAGCGGTAAGTGTTCATATTGCATGCTGCCGTCACCGTGTTTAAAACGTCATCAAACTGCGACGTAGGAGGGAACAAGCGCCACATTTCTACTGCGCCAAATTATTTGGGCATTTACATCGTTAGCAGGTTACAGCTACAGTTCAACAACTCTGTGGTATGTATATTCGCCAAGTTAGGAAGAATATACATTGTTGTTGAATATGCTGTTTGGAAAATGTTGGTTTTTAATGTAACATTAGCAACGTTAGCTACCGGTGACCACAGTAAGGTGCTGCTAGCTAGCTGACGGTAGCTGGTGTGTGTATATATATATATATATATATATATATATATATATATAAACAAATAAATATGTGTATTCAGATCCAAAAAAAAGTACTGATTACAAAATGTAATACCCCCAAACGTATTTGAAACACGTCCAGTTAAACAGTCTGTATACTTGTATGCAGGAGTGAGCTGAGGTTAAGGAGGCAGCAGCTGATGACGTAGATATCTTCTTCATTACTGCTCCTGTCTCACTGGTTTGTTTATATCTAGAGTAACCTGTTTCTAAATCATTGAGCTTCAGACGGACTGTCATCAGTTTAACATCTCGCTTGTGTTACATTAATGTTTGTTACTCTCTCTCATGGTGTTACTTGCTTCCTCTACTGGGCTGTTGACAACATAGATACCTTTGAAAATGACAATCCAATGATGTCCCCTCTCCTAGGCCTCCATCGGGCATTAATGCACCATGAGTATATTTGGGACAAACACTGGGTTTGGAGCAGGAGGGACTGGGGTCTTTGGAAACGCGACTACAGACAGCCACAATCCCATGAAGGTAAACCAGCCGAGTGCAGTTCATGGTTAAAAAAAAAAAAAAAGTGTGATCGTCAATTTACAATCTGTGTTTTTACCTGTTAACCTGACAGCTTACTTTACGTTTCTGTGGTGCTGCACTTTCCTACAGGATGTTGAAGTGACTTCACCGCCAGATGACAGCATCAGCTGCCTCGCTTTCAGCCCCCCCACCATGCCAGGAAACTTCCTTATTGGAGGATCGTGGGCAAATGATGTGAGTTCATTGCTTTGTCCTGATGCAGTAAACAACAGTGGAGTGACCTACTGAACTCAAAATAATGGATAAAATAATGCTGTAATAGAAAGTGATTAGATAAATTCACCAGGCTTATCTTTCATTGAATGGTTCCTTTATCCTTGATGATAATAGTAGAATTCTACAATTCACTTAGCAGACGCTTTTATCCAAAGCGACGTACATCAGAGAGTAAGTACAACGCAAGCAAGGATCTAGAAAAAAGGGAACAATGTCAGTAAGAGCAAACGATCAGCTTTGAGTGTGATTGGACACACAGGTGCTGACAGGAAGTGACCAGAGGCAAAGCACAACATTGAGGCAGTTCTTGAGAGCTCTAATCAGTATAGAAACCATCTTATAAGTCATTGTTATCAAACAAAAACCATCGTCATCATCATCATCATCAATAATATGGAGACCATCATCATTAAGTTAGTAGGTATTCATGAAAGTAGTACTTAGTTATGATAGTAGTTAGTAACACTCTTACACCATGTTGTATCATTTTGCCACAGGTGCGGTGCTGGGAGGTGCAAGACAATGGACAGACTGTCCCCAAAGCCCAACAGATGCACACAGGTCCAGTGCTGGATGCATGCTGGAGTGATGTAGGTCTCATCATACTGTACATCCCCCCCCCCGTAATATTTACTGCCAACTGGGACACGTAATAATGAATGATGTTTTACTCCCTTCACCAGGATGGGAGTAAAGTCTTTACTGCTTCCTGTGACAAAACAGCCAAGATGTGGGATCTTAACAGCAATCAAGCAATGCAGATTGCACAGGTTGGATGGGAACGCCCTGATAAATGTTGTGGTCGTAAGGAAGAACAAGCAAAATTATAACTTCTCCCCATTTTTTCTTCACAGCATGAAGGTCCGATTAAATCCATCCACTGGATAAAAGCCCCAAACTACAGCTGTATCATGACTGGCAGCTGGGACAAAACACTGAAGGTACAACAGCCATTTCAACACATCTGACAGTGCTTACGAAGACAGACATATAGGGCCACACTGGCAATCCATACCATTGCCTAATCCACTTCACTCCTAAAGTCCAGTTCTTTTGACCTGTGTTAGTGCTCCATAATGTGCTCAAGCACGGTACACTTCCTTGGCCATGGCACGCTCAGAGAAGGGTGCTTTGGAACGGGACACTTCATGCCCAAGCACACTGGTACACAACGTTGACAACCTTCATTATGGAGAAATCCAGAGTGTTCTGGATGTATCTGACTAATATGACTCAAAATAAGCCACAAAGTAGCTGTCATGTTCTTCGTTATGTTCTCCGTTTTGTACTCCGATGTGTGGATGAGGACTCGACCACACGTCTCTTTTATTGTTTTAATTTATTTATGGCTGTATCTGATTAAAATGACTCAAAATAAGCCGTGCTTGAGCTTAAGTTTAAGTCCGGGACAACTTTGCTCGTGTGAGTGCGCCCTTAGTCTTTGCTTTAAGAGTCACAAGACAATTTTTCCATGAGTTGAAAATGTATCAGCTGCCACAACACAGCCCATATTCTTATTATATTCTGCGTTATAATTTGACAGCTCTGTAAATGCTTGGGAATTAAATAATTTTTCATGGTAGTGGTTGTCTGGTAAATCTTAATAAACTACTGGCAGTATGTGCTCACACTTTATTGTCCAATGCAGCATGCAGTCTTTAAACATTGCAGTCAGGTTCAAGTCTTTTTTGCCAGAGGAAGCTCATGTGTTTCACAGTGCTGTAGTCTTAAGTGGGGCCAAAGGACTAAACTATGTGGGTTATTATTATACTTTAAAAACAGCTCATTGGTATATTAATTGTAATTATCTAATGGACACACACATTTCTTTTAGTTATGTAATCACACAGACTTATTTAAATCGTGACAATAACCTTCAACGAGCTGAGAGAGACTGGCACATCAAACATTGTGGGTGAGAAACATGACAGCTTATTGAAATGTTTCTTTTCAGTTCTGGGACACCCGCTCCCCCAACCCCATGATGTCTCTGCAGATGCCAGAGAGGTCCTACTGTGCAGATGTTGTAAGTTGGATGTCATTAGTTTTGATACTTGCTGAGTAATTAATTGTGTGGATTTTCTTTTATAGACTTGTTTTGAACCTCCCTTGCTGTTAATTGTAGGTATACCCCATGGCTGTGGTTGCTACAGCTGAGAGAGGCCTGATCGTGTACCAGTTGGAGAACCAGCCCTCTGAGTTTCGCAGAATAGACTCTCCTCTCAAACATCAGGTGAATGTCTTCAATAGTCTTTTCTTTTGGCTTAATATAAAGTGTGGTGTATGGACATGCTCTAATGTACTCCTCTGCTCTGGTCCTGCAGCACCGCTGTGTTGCCATATTCAAGGACAAGCAGAACAAGCCAACGGGCTTTGCACTGGGAAGCATTGAGGGCCGAGTGGCCATCCACTATATCAACCCTCCAAACCCGTGAGTGTCTTTAAGATCTTTTTTTTATTTTTTTTAAGCCATGCGTATTTCTTGAATGCGGTGAAAGTTAAAACGTTGACGTAATTATTTTATTTAGAAGACAAATTCAAAGACACTGCTTTTCATGTTAAAAGCCTGAATCCAAATATGGTGAATCTATTCATTTGCCACTTTCAGAGCCAAAGACAACTTCACCTTTAAGTGCCACAGGTCTAATGGAACAAACACAACCACTCCACAGGACATCTATGCTGTAAGTTGTTCTGACACTTGGTGCTCTTATAAAGGATTTACTTAGCATAATTGAATGTAAAATGAGCAAATGATACCACTTAGTAACGTTTATTATCAAGAGCTTTTGATTGAGAGTGTTTTAATGGACCTCTTTAACAGCCAGCATTTTGCTTGTCATGGAAAGAAAAGGTAGATGTAGTTCTACTAAGTGAAGTGCCTTTGTACATGTTATATATGTATTGAATCATGTCTGTTAAAAGTGTTCAATGTGTTTAGTGGTGTTAAACATCTAAAATCGTGTTAATGCCTAGATGAAGATATATTAGTGTAATTTGCTTTCTTATGGCATTTTCACACATATGGTTTGTTACATTGCTGCATATTTACCTCAAGTCTGGTCTGTGTTCATACTGGAACATTTACAAAGAAGACCAAAATGTGTGATGAGCAAGGAAAATGCTCCCTAATTGGGCGAGATTCCTTGGGGGGGAAAAATCCCAGAAATAACCAAAGTTGCAGCATTTCCACATGTTTAGAATTTAATTGGCTTCAAGAAATAATAATAATAATAATAATATATTACATTTTTATCGCGCTTATCTGAGTACTCAAAGACGCTTAACAAAGAATAAAAATAAAACAAAATATTGAAAACAATACAACCAATAAGTAGTAAGAAAAGTCTGTCATCGGCACAGTTGCGTGTAATATGCCGGATAGATTGATTAATGATACTTTATTGATCCCAAAGGAAATTCAAAACACAGATATACACACATCAGAACAGAACTCAATTAAATTATTTATTTAGAAACATGAATTATATCAGACAATACAGAGGGATAGTGGAACAGAGAAGGCAAATTTGAACCAATCTGCAGATCCAGCCATTACACTAAGTTAATATAAAACGTTAACCAGCCTTGTGATTCTGTTTCCTCTCGTTTCACCTACTAGTTTCCTTTCTCTCCCATCAGGTGAATGCTATTTCTTTCCATCCTGTCCATGGCACACTGGCTACTGTAGGCTCAGACGGGCGCTTCAGCTTCTGGGACAAAGATGCCCGTACCAAGTTGAAGACCTCAGAGCAGCTTGACCAGCCCATTACGGCTTGCTGCTTCAACAGCAATGGCAACATCTTTGCGTATGCTTCTAGTTACGACTGGTCGAAGGTAGGTGTCCACTTCTGTACATGCTGTCTGCATAGACCTTAGACTGGCCTTCACTCATGTTTTTGTCATATTGTGCTGTCCCTCAGGGCCACGAGTACTACAACCCCCAGAAAAAGAACTACATCTTCTGAGGAACGCTGCAGAGGAGCTGAAGCCTCGGAACAAGAAATGGTGAGAGAAGGGCAGTCACTGTCTCTAAACCTGGAGATCACGGTCACCGGACGGGGGCTGCACGATGCTTAATGCTTTTGTGACTCGCACTGGGGCCTTAAACCCTGTGAACACTAGTGTGCATGGACGAGGCCATAGAATATAGATATGATTCAGATTTCAGTATTGCTGTTTACTGCTCGAGTAGCCATTCTGTAAAGGAATAGTGCTGTACTGACCTGAGTCTTCTTTCAAAGGCCTCTGTGGTCTCTGCTGAAAGGGCCCATGGGAAGAAGCCTGCTGGCTGTAGCTTTTAGCTTGAAAGAAGTAAAGCTTCAGAGTGTATTAGAAGACATAAGAATGTATTTAAAGATTGTCACTACTAGATGTTTGGACATAACTATGAAACAATTCAGGAAACAGGGTAATGGAACATATGTAACTAATAATGAAGAGAGAATCAATCATGATCTGTGAGGGATGATTTGACTTTGCTCTAGAGTGATATTGTACTGTTTATTCTGCGCAGGAGGGGCCATACTAAACTCCTTTTCAGAAATAAACAAGACAAAACACTGTAAATTGTCCTTTGTGACTGACTGCTTCCTCTTGTCTGTAGATTCATCGTGCCAAGTTGCATCTCTTGGGGGGAAATGCGGAAGACCTGCTGCTTTAGTGTGTGTATACGCTCGGGACAGACTCCTTCCTTTCGACAAACACCTGGACCAATGCCGCGTACTGTGCATGGACCAATCAGAGGGGTCCACCAAACCTGGCATTGATGACAGCTGTGTGACAATTGGTCGCAGAGGTCATCATAGAATGGGAGGGCTTTCTTTTTCATTCACCTCGATGTTTCGTTGTTGTTGTTGTTGTTTTTTTAAATGTGTCCAGCTCTTCATTTTTTTTACAGCTTTCCAAAGACTTTTGATGCTCTTATGATGTTGTCACTGTGGTTTAGGTCAATTGATAAGACTGGGATGTAAAATAAATAAGAAATGCATAATGTTAGACGTCAACAACATCATTCCAAGTCACGGGGGTAAGTAGGTAAAGAGATCATCCAATGTGTCTGCTGTGTAGTTGTTGCTAAGGATTTATTGGACGGTATTGTGCATGCAAACAATGAACTTGACCACTCTAATATTTCAGCTGTAAAACTCATTATGTGAGTCTCTGACATATGAATCATCACAAAATCAAAGTTATAAACTTAAGACAACTTATGTATCATATGATCTGTTCTGTCTGCTTGTCTTAATGCAAATCAGCCAGCAGGGGGAGTGTTTTTTGTTTTGGTGTACTTTTACCCCAGCAGCTACCTGTAAGGAGGTCCTGGCAGGCAAAATGAGATCAAAGCAGGACAGTGGGGTTCTTCATCCAAGTCTTTTTGATAGGAACACACAGCTGGAAATGGGTGGGCTTTACCAAGAGGATATGAATGAGGTGACATGGACAGCTACAAAGGCCATGTGTGAAAGGTGAACCAGTCCATAGAGGACAGGGTGTGAATTAAAAGCCTTTTTATTGAGGTCATTAGAGTATCACCTCACTGTTAGCCTGACCCTTGATACTTAACAGTGGAACTCCAAGGCACCGTGGGCGGGAAGGTAACACCGCAGCCACAGCTCAGCGGCTCCTCTAAGCTTACGAGGGGTGACACAGGAACCAGTGCTCTACACTAAACTGTCTCCTGTACGGCTCTGTTAAACTACCATGTTCCTTTGAACTAATTAACCAAGTTGCATACAAAAAAAAATTAAAAATACTCAGTCACTTGCTCCCATAGACCCCAGCAGGCTTGTATGGACAGAGAAGCAATAAGGAAACCTTTAACTTACAGGATTGAGCTGTTGCTTGGGACGCTCAGATCTTCCTTTGTAAAGCTGTTGGTAGCATGTAGGGACATATTTTTGGAACTGAAAGCAATCATGTATCTTATTGTTCTGCACACTCTCCTTTCTTCTGCATGTGCACGTGCTTTCATAAGGAAATTAAGAGAGGTGGCGTGGTGTTTCATGTGAGGAGACATTTTTCACATAATACTTAAACCAGAAAAAGACAGATTTGTAGGCCTAGTGTAGAACTTTGATATTACCTCTAAGAGTAGTACAAATGTTCATACCAACTAAAATGTATGGTAATCACTATTTTTTAAATCTAATTACCTGTTGTAAGATAAATACATTCAGATAATCATATGACAGTAACAATGTAGTGACTGGCCTGGAGTTGTATAAGGAAATGTTTAAAGTGAAGATTAAACGTAGCATGAACAAATCATAAGTGAGGCCTACTGAAAGGCTTTAAACAAAGTTAGAGCTGTCACTTCGAGCCAGCTGCAGTACAACTTTATTTATCTGTTGCTTTCTGTAAAGCATTTATGTGCACTCTAAAGATTATGAATTCAGGCCATGGTAAAATGAGCATACTTTAAACTTGAGAAAAATGAATGCTTGAAAAGGGGATTTTGAGGCGAGATAATGACTTCCTCATTACAGTAGCACACAACACCATGTGGCGGTCGGATCCGCTCTTTCTGTCCTACAGTAGTCTATCTCTTTGTGCTTGTAAAGGACAAAAGCAGGTGCAGCGCAGAGCAGCGCCGGGGAGGGGGAGGCGGACCAATGGGTGGTGCTGCTGCCCAAGTTGGCACTCAGTGGGTAGGCTGATTGGTCAAACATTATGTGTGGGCGTGGACTCAGCCGTGGCGTATAAAACCTACCGGCACATTTCCTTTCGGCGTCAAAAGAAGCAACCGGTGTGGAGGAGTTTCCTCGGGTGTGAGCCGCAGTTGACATCTGGTTGCAGGATAACACGGGAGGGAAACTCCAACACAAAATAGAGCGACATAAAGTTGAGTTTTACTGATGCTGGGACCTTGTAGAAACGCTTAAGAGACATTTCAGTGTAGGCTACTCCGGCTGCCCAATGCTTCTACATCAGTTCATGAACGGAGCCCTGGACGTCATGCATCCGACCTCGCTGCAAAAAGACACAACTTTTACCAAGATCTTTGTCGGCGGGCTGCCGTACCACACGAACGATGCATCACTCAGAAAATACTTCGAGGCCTTCGGGGACATTGACGAGGCTGTTGTGATAACGGACAGACAGACCGGTAAATCCCGAGGATACGGCTTTGTGAGTACATGCAGGACAGCCATAAAACCTACAGAAATGTCAACAACTGGACCTACAGCAATCTCTCATTTACAACTTTTAAACCCTGTCGACCCCTCACTATAGACTAGCTATCTACTGTAATGATGCTACGTTGTTTATATTTCATTTCACTTGTTTTTAGTGTAGACCTGCATAAGAATTGCCTTTTGTGTGTGAGTGCCTCTCCCCCCCCTCTCGTTTCATGGGAAGTAATATGACTAATTCATACTAGTCATTTATGTTCTGTCTGATATGTGTCAAAGGTTATTCACCCCCACTGAAGCTGACATGCATACTTGCACAGCATCTCCTTTTCTTTTTTCTTTTTTTCCGCCTGGCTGTCAGTTATTTTAGCTTAATGAGAATGAGGGATCACACAGGTTGATGGGTAACTAAGAAGATTATATTTCAGCATATGTCAATGATGTCCAGAACCCCAAATGACCCCCCCCCCCCTTTACTCACCCCTGAGCAGCCCCAGCTTATGGCTTTAGAATAGTCTATGTGTTTATGAGAGAGAGAGAGAGAAAGACAGAGAGAGAGGGAGTCTGCACTCCTAGCTTGCTTTATATGGTTATTTTGTAGCAGTGGGGTGGTTGACCTTGCACACCCGGCCCTCCATTGTCAAAGAACGGAGCATTCGGCTGTAGCACATGATTTGCATCACATCTTGGCTGCTTAGAGAAATTCCAGCATCAACCAACAGGCTCTCTCTTATACTACAAGTTCATGTTGAAGCCCCTTTCTGACTCTTATCATGTTTAGACGTAGGATGGGCCAAGCCTCATTAAATACTTTTGATGTTCATGAAACATAAACTTACTCGGGTAAGGTTGTAAAAACTGTTCCTGTTCTAGGTCAGGTAAAGATATTCCTTCTCTCTTTGACACAAAACACAGAAGCAGAACAAGAAATGCAAATATTTACGAGAACCTTGGGAAGACATATCAGCACTAATGTACTGTCGGGCCAAAGAAGGAATGGAAAACTGTGATGTGTGCGTGTTTACTTCTAAAGCCAGAATTTGAAGACAATTGCTCTCTGTGTTTACACATCAGCTCCTTAACTCTGAGGAAAGTGGTCCTGTGAGTCTAGCTGGAATCAAACGGCTGCTTATTGAGTCTTGTGTTTCAGGTTAAACAGGCTCAGGCTGCTGTGGGTGCTGCCCGGGAGGAAAAAAAAAAAAAAAAAGGCATACATTTTCTGTTGCGTGAGGCAACCTGATAATTCTGTTTTCTGAGCGTTTCAGTTGGAAAGGTAGCTGGCAGCAGCAGGAGGGGAGGGAGGCGCCCCAAAGCTGAGCACACCTTTTTTCTAAACACACTTCAGAGGTGGATTAGTAGAACCCCCCCACACACACACACACACACACACAGCAGGGCTCTTTCCAGTGTAAACACTCTAGTCTCGTTCCTTCCTGTGTATTCACAACACAGGCCCTGGTTAGGGCTTTGTTCTGGATCCTTCCACTATGGAGAGGCACGCTGCTTTTAAAAACGTCCTCTTTAACAATGCAAGCCGTGGCCTACATTCACCACTCAGTCCACACGCCGAGGTGGCTGAACCCTCTGAGTTGGCAAAATGTGGCAAATCAAAACAGAAGGGCTCGTCTAATGCCAGGAGGGAGAGAGGAGGGGTGGACTAATACCGATCTCCTTAATATTTAGCTCCTAATTGGATAAGCTCCTTGTTGCTCTTCCCAGATCCATATTTCCGCACTGAGCGGAGCGGAGTGGCAGTCAAGTGGCCAGTTGCTGCTGCTGTTGGCAGTTTTCAAAGCTTCATTGTGCTTTGTTTGTAGTTTTCTTTCGTATTCAGAGACACTGAATCTTAACAGCAGAAAGCCTGGGGGGGGGGGGGGGGTTATGATGAGACCAAGTCCCTTTTTTATTCATTTCAAATGTTCAAGTGTTTTTGTTTTTTTATTGAGTGTTTAATTTGTAACCAGCTGGGGCGTCAAGCGAAGCACTTTGTTTGTTTCATCTGACTTAATGTTATTTCCTTTGAGACTTATTTGACGATTCTGATTTTATCCCCAGGTAACGATGACAGACAGAGGAGCTGCAGAGAGAGCATGCAAGGATCCCAACCCCATAATCGATGGCAGGAAAGCCAACGTGAACCTGGCCTACCTGGGGGCTAAACCCCGCAGCATACAGACAGGTGAGATCTACTGTGTATATGTTCAATGTGCTTCCTTCCTGCTCAGCAACCATTATGTCATCTAATATGTGTTTGTTTGTTTGGGAAGGCTGAGACATCCTTCGTATGAACCATAGACTGTAAAAATAACCATTGGTTGAACTATTCTATCACCTGATGGGTTAAAAAGACACTTCACCACCATTTAGTTTACATCACAGTCTGTTTAAGTTCAGTTAGAACATCCATACCATCCACATTTGTCTGATTTATTTTAGATACAAAATGATATTTTCATTAAAAACCAGGCATGTTTTTCTGTGTCTTTTTGAGCATTTGTAAGTGTTCTCCATCCGAGGTAGGATTGAAACAGACCCTGCCTCTGTCTCTCCGTGCTCACTGTGTATTGTTCTCTGGTCCTCCTCTGTAAATGCAAATGTGTGTGTGTGTCTGACAGCCGGCCTCCTATCTTGCAGGCATATCCATCGGAGTGCAGCCCATTCACCCAGCACTCATCCAGAGGCAGTATGGGTAAGTGAGCGGGAGTGGGCGCTTGTTGTATTCTCTTGTATTTCTCTATGTGGGATGCCACCAGGCTACTAGTCCTTTGACAAACAAGGCCTCTGGAAAGTACATGTCAGTTTCTATGTCCACATGCAACTCCAGAAGTAGTCTATTAGCATATCTGAGTTCTGTAGGGCTGGGAGATGGTTCACATCTCTGTGGTAATAGAAGAGCATTCCAGAGGTGATTGTGTGACTCACTTCTTTTTTTTTTGGCCTCTGTCAGAAGCCTCTCCTCTTGTTTACCTGCCAGAGTGGGCTCTGTCACTGAGAACGCTTCCTCGAAGTGGCTGTGTTGTAGAAACAGCCTGGGTAGCGTCTAGGAGCCATGGTCTGCCGAGCAGCTAATGAGCGTTTCACTGCAGTAA